ATAAAAGTACATTCAAAAGGCGTCTAAAGACTTATTCTTTCCTATACCGAGGGTAACTGAACACCAATATAATCGTAGAGCAAACGTAAGCGAAAAAACATCAAATTTGGGGTGATTTGTATAGGGAAAAGTTGGAAATATGATACGCGCAATACGATATGACTTTTTGTTAACGCAAAGTTTGATATGAGTAATTTAGCTGTTTGTAACTGCAAGTTTTGTAAAACTAAAAGAATCGAAAACTTTTTTACCTTTAAATATTTTTATAGTTATCAACTTTAATGTAAATTTATTATAATACTATGTAAATAACTCAGAAATTCAGTTGTCTTTAACTGCAAAGAGTTCATTAAACCATCTTATCTTATTATTCCATTATATTCGAAATTTTTCAAAAAATAGGTTTAACTGTAGTCATGACCTCGTTAATTATAGTCATGACCTGTTAATTGTAGTCATGACCTTGTGTATCATGACTGTGAATTAAATGCGCTCGATTAAATGGCTGTGAAAGATAAGATGGGCCAAATTTGTGGAATACTTTGAATATTAGACAAGATTTTTGTTCCATTCGCCGATCTTCTAGTGTCGGCCAATTTAAGTTATTTAAAATTTGGGAAGAGCGTTGCTCCTAGTAATTATTCGAGCTGCTCGATTTTGTAATTTTGGAAGCTTATCCCGTAAACCTTTTCTGCAATTATCCCACACAGAACTACAGTAATCAAAATGCGGAGAATGATAGATGAGTATATATCAACTAGCGTGTTAATTGGCACCAGATTCAGAATACGTCTTAACATTCCCAGGCCTTTGACTACTTGTTTGGATATATAATTTACGTATTCTTCCCACGATAAATTTCATCAATCATAAGCCCCAGGGATTTTGTTACAACTACCCGCTTTAAGCGGTGTCCTCCGATAAATATCTTAGGATCTGATGCCAACTTATTTATTCGGACTTTGGAGCCAATTAACATATATACTCGCATTTTAAGACGCTTAAACTTAGTCTATTTGCTTGCAGCCATCTATACAAGATATCTATAGATCTTTATTAAGTACGTCTTTAACTTTATTAAAATTTGTATGATAAGCAGTTGTATTTGTATCATCAGCATACATAGCGGGGATGGTTTCAGTACGATGTTTTATTTTTGGATTAACGCAAGTATCGTCGCTTTTGTTTCGAATCACATATCGTTTGGAATGTTAATTCTATTATTCCTTATGTCGGCCATCTTGTTGTCATGCGTGTTGTCGCGCGTGGTCTACGCGAATAATGTTCAGTATTGATGAGTAATGTGGAACATTGTCAAAAGAAACGCAGGCTCGATAATTGATAAAGTAAGGCGTGATTATAAATTTCATGCTCACGTGCCACAAACTGAGCTTCCTGATTGGACTTGATCGAATTATAATATTATACCTTGTTGGATTCTTCTGATCCCAATTTGGCAAAATACTAGGTCGAGACTGCGATATTGGGCGATGCCTAATATTGAAGTCGAGACTTAATATTTTGCCATATTGGGCAAAGATGAATCCAGTAAGAGTTTTATTATATCGAACAATACAATTCTATAACAAAAATTTGTCAATAAGCGATAAAGTAATACAGCGAAATAATACAGCGGGGTATGACTAAAGGTAGAGTTACCAACCGGACAGTTATCTCGGAGAGTTATGATTTCGGAGAGTTATGTTCATACCACGCCCACTTCCCCGACGAACACACCCAATTTCTTAATTCTCCCCACGTTCCCTTGAACTAACATGAGAGAGTTATTTACTGTTTAATAAACGAGCAGGAGTGTTTTATTAGGTTTAAAGCCTCGAGCGGTTAGCGCGAGTGGCTTTAGACCTAATAAAATGCGATCTGTGCGTGAGTTTATTACACGGCTTCAAACACTACTACAAATTCAATAGATATACGCATATTTGTAAAAAGAAGCTTTACTGAGGTTTTAAAAAAAACTGACATAACTCTCTTCATTGCGGCAAACGTGAACGCGTAGAGTTATAAAAAATGATAACTCTCTAACATTTTCATAATGTTAACGAGAGAGAGTTACGTCAAACATAACTCTCTCTCATGGTAGTTCAAGGAAACGTCGGGGGAGTTAAGAAATTTTGTGTAGTCGTTGGGAAAAGTAGGCGTGCTTTGGACGTGGTTCGAACACAACTCACCGAAATCATAACTCTCCGAGATAACTCGATCCCCACTTCATCACTCTCCGTTTATCCGGTCCCAATACAGCGACAACAATACCACATATATCAGCTGCAAATTTGCTTAAATAACTAAACAAAAGGATGATAAACTTGTTTTTACAAATATGCGTGCATCAATAAACTAAACTACATGTATTTTTAAATTATTTTATCTTTTAAAGACAGCGAAGGTACTTCCATGAATGACCTAACGTAGCAACGAGCCAACAGGCTAAAACTCAAAGTGTAAACTTTGAAAATAACATCGACAATTTAGGAGAATTGACAGTAATTATGTATAATTAAAGGAAATTGAAGTATGTTCATACATGTTATAGGTCACAAGTATTTTGATTGTAATTTGATATGATTATATTTATTCCAACATCTGAATTACAACGATGAACGATGTAGCTATGTTGAACTTTTGACCATATTTGATGGAAAACGTCGTACATTAATAGTCTCTAGTACTAGAAAATACATGCATGCAGAAACCCTCGCCTTGCTGACAAAACAATTGCATTTTCCGAACGTGAAGTATCTAAAGTAGTTGTCATGGTAGCACGATAATTTTTTAAGAATATTTTTACAAATGAAAAATCGCCTAAAAAGATCACTTTTAATTACAAAATTATCAATTTCCCAACATATTATTGTTTGGTATGTTATTATACGTAATATAAGGTTCAATTTAAGGTAAAATTCAACCACAAACGCTTCGCAAAACGTTTTAAAGTGTTCTTTATAACTAAACTGTCTCTAAAGTTTAATTAAATGTCTTTATCGATATTAACTTTGAGTTTGCAATAAAATGATTTCAAATTCTCGCATGCAAATAACTTTGCTTTCTTTTTTATTTAAAAAATTCAATATAATATAAAAGGGAATCAATAATAAAGATACACTGAAATGATATGCTGTCTTGTTTTTTATTAATAGTTGTTTCATATACGCAAAGCCAAAGGCCATCGGGTTTTAAGTCAATTATAAAATCAATATTTAAAACAAACTTAACTTCGTTAACAACGGCTCCCTTCTTTTAGCCGATTCTTTCGCCCTTTCTTTCAGGGAAAACTTTTGAAATGTACAAAATCTTGCAAAAATGCGAGCAAAAATGAAATAGATTTGCAAGAAATTTATCAATCATCAAATCAAGAAATATTTGCCATTTCGCTGTCGTCATGCAGTCGTTATAATGCAAACTTTAAATTGGACCAATCAGTGTCCGCTATTCATGACAGTCCGCCATATTTTTGAGATCAGTAAGGATGACCACCCACCGAAACATCGTTGGTGAGCCACGCCCGCGATTATTGATGAACTTTAGACTTCGCTAATGCTTTCGTTTCCCCGGGTGTAAATAGCCGGGCGGAATTAGTACCCTCGCACGGCACTTCGCGTCGTCGGCTCGGGGATAACTATCACAATATTTGTTTTGTTTTTCTAGATGGCTTGCCAGGATGGACAAGAGAATAAAGACGTGCACATTTCTATATGCGGTATGTTGGTTATAATGTTTTATGTATTTATTCCTTTCGCTATCTGAATCGTTACAGCTTTTCAATCCTGTATATATATATATATATATATATATATATATATATATATATATATATATATATATATATATATATATATATATATATATATATATATATACGCTATATATATATATATATATATATATATATATATATATATATATATATATATATATATATATATATATATATATATATATATATATATATACGAGTAGGTTTGTGTATACGAAACGCAAAGAGTGCTCAATATCATAAAGATAGAGCAAATGTAGAATTTCGCTTACCTCAAAATTCCGCAACAGTCTGTTTCATCGCCACAGAATTCCGCAACAGTCTGTTTCATCAGGATACCGCCTGATGATTCTTTACTGATGAAACAGACTGTTGCGGAATTTGCAAAATATGTCAGAGTATTATCTTTTGACTTTCGCAAAGCATTCGATAGCGTTCCACACGATATTTTATGTGAGAAGCTTAAGAAGCTCCCCATCAACCCATATGTGACTAATTGGCTGATTAGTTTTCTGGAGGATAGGAAACAGAGGGTAGTGGTTGATGGAATAGAAACTGAATACTTGAACATTAATCGAGGTGTTCCCCAAGGAACAGTTCTGGGTCCTGTCCTCTTTTCGATCATGGTGACTGACATCAAAACAGTTAACCCCATAAACCAGTTAGTTAAGTTCGCGGATGACATGACATTAGAAGTACCAGGGAATGAAAACGGAGATACATCCCAAGCCGAAGTGGACAGTATACAAACATGGTCTGAGAATAATCGAATGTCCTTAAATATGGAAAAGACGTATGAAATGATTGTTAGGAGAAATATCCCTACGCTGTTGCCTGATCCTTTTCCATTTATTAAACGAAGGACGTGGTTAAAGATTTTAGGAATTACATTACAGGATAAAAAGATAAAGGAAAGATGGCCGTCGCTCAGAGAGCTCTGCATTTGATCTGCATGTTGCTGTATTTATATCTTTGTTTTAAAAACCTTACACGATGTAAAAAATGCAATTCACTCGATGTGTATAATGGAAACGTATTCTACTCCTCAAATATAGCCGCTAAACCAAATATTGCAAGTTTTGTTCGTTTACCACGGCAACCTAGATCTTGTTCTGGCTCGGCAAGTTTAACGCCAAACTCAACTCGTGTGATTGTTGCCTGTCGTCTACTAACTAAAGCCTCAATCTCGTTGCTTCTTATTCAAATGTCAAACGATGTTGAATCCCAGCCTGGTCCTGTAGTCGATCGAAAAGGAATCAAATTATGCCATTGGAATATACAACATCTCACGGACAGTAAATTTGAAGAGATTCGCAACTTATTGACATGCCCCAGCAAGGAGCTTTTTGGTCTGGACATTCTCATTTTATCGGAGACCTTCTGTACCGAAAAAATACCAGAAACATTTTACAGCATTCCCGGCTACAAAGTCTATCGAAAGGACAGAACTGGAAAGTCAGGCGGTGGATTATGTGTATATGTTAAAAACTCAGTTCAAGCTGAGCGACGAATTGATCTCGAAACAAAAGATGTGGAAATAATATGGCTCGAAACCTGTCCCTACAAATCGAAACGGCCTCTATTCATCGGGGGAATCTACAGACCACCCTCATCAAACGCTGCTAGTGATAAGAGTATCGGGAAAAACATCGAAAATGTCTCTCTTTTAGGTCACGAGGTGGTACTTTTGGGTGACATAAACATTGATTATTTATGCACAACGAAATTTGCAAATCATACATTCACGAAAGTATTAAAGTCATTCAACCTTTCGCAGCTTATGAATGTGATTACACGCCCCATATCACGCACCTGTCTCGATCACATCTGGTGCACCCATGCTGAACGGCTAAACAATGTCAAAGTTTTAAATATTGGAATATCAGATCATTTGCCTATTATGACAACCAGGATATACAAACGTGCGTGTCACAACAAGGGTAAGCATTCCACAATAAACTATCGCGACGTAAAGCATTTAAACAAGGACAAATTCATTACCGCCCTTAAAAATGCACCGTGGGATAGTGCTTTTGTATTTGATGACGCAAATGACACTGTCTATGCATGGTATGAAATATTTAATGATGTCGTAAATGAATATCTTCCCTTAAAACAAAAGCGGGTAAAGCGAAATACACAGCCTAAATGGTTCAATAATATAATTGGGGAGGACATAAAGGCACGCGATAAACTGTATTACAAAGCAAGGAAATATCAAACTGACGAAGATTGGGCAAACTACCGCATTGCAAAGAACAAAGTGACAAAAACAATAAGAAATGCGAAGAAAAATTACTTTAGTGATAAATTTCAAGAAAATAAACAAAACCCCAGTAAACTTTGGAACTTGATTAAAAATCTAACAAATGATGATGCTGGAAAAAATGAAAGTGTCAAATTTTTGACCGAAAATAGTACGACTTTAAAAGATAAAGTGACCATTGCTGAAACATTTAATCGCTTCTTTGTCGACCCGCAAAACAACCTCGCGTCCACCTCAGCGCCCGTAGAAATAGAACAAACACCAAATCTAGATCCTATTCCCCATGTCGATACTACATTCAGCATTCCCCCCATGTCAAAATTAAGAGTGATTGAGTTACTTCTATCCATCCCCGTTCATAAATCCACAGGAGACGATGGCATTAGCGCCAAAATAATGAGAATAGCAGCACCAGCTATAGCCGAACCATTAAGCCAGCTGATGAATCGTTGCATAAACACTCAAACGTTCCCCTCAAAATGGAAGGTTGCTAAGGTCACCCCAATATATAAAGGGAAGGGAAACCGAGATGAAAAGTCTAACTACAGGCCTATATCAGTGCTTCCCATTTTATCTAAGCTACTGGAAAGGCACATATGTGAACATATGTATGGGTTTCTGCAACAACGAAACTTATTTTATCGACTTCAATCCGGGTTTCGTAAACACCATTCGACTGAAACTGCACTCATCAGACTCATTGACCAATTGCTACTTGATCTGGATAAAAACAAGGTAACTGGACTAATTTTTGTAGACTATAAGAAAGCCTTCGATCTGATAGACCATCAACTGCTCCTTAACAAGTTACATAATTATGGCATTCAGGGGGATGAGCTAAACCTCTTAAAAGACTATCTTAGAAACCGTTGGCAGTATGTAAATATTGATGGTTCCCGTTCTCCGAAAATAGAGGTGAAATGCGGTGTGCCACAAGGAAGTATTTTGGGTCCAATCTTCTTCCTTTTGTTTATCAACGATCTTCCGTCAGAGGTATTCCACTCCGAGGTCGACATATATGCGGATGATACTACCCTTAGTCACTCCGCAGAAGTGGATTTGGCACCTACAGCCATAGAAACAGCACTACAGCTTGATTTGGACGGCATTGTAAGGTGGTCAAAAACAAACAAAATGATCATAAATGCCAAAAAGACAAAATCTATGCTTGTTACCGGAAAGAGATTGGCCAAAAAGTTGCCGACAAAGATATTGTCGTTACAGTCTGAAAACGAGGATATTGAACAAGTTCATTTCCAGAAACTTTTAGGAGTCACTATCGATCAAGAACTGACTTTTGATAAACACGTGGAAGAACTTTCTAAGAAATTGGGACGACTGGGCGTTCTTCGGAAAATTAAACGGTTTCTTCCTTTAGACCAACGTAAACTGTACTACAACACCATGTTTAAGCAAGTCATGATGTATGGTGCTACAGTTTGGGCTAACTGCTCCGTGGAAAACTTGAAAACAATTCTTCGATTGCAAAAACGTACTGCCCGCATCATTTTGGATGTCGGTACAAGAACAAACAGCGTATCATTGTTTAAGCAGCTAAATTGGCTTGCTTTTCACGACGAAGTGAGGTTGAACAAATGTGTCTTAGCTTACAAACGGTTTCATGGAAATTGCCCATCATATATTAATGATATTCTAACCTCAAATGCAGACATACAAACCCGTTCGTCAGGCCGTTACAGTCAAAGAAACTTGGTATGTCCACGCTATAGCCGAGTCATGGAAGGGGGAAAGTCTTTCCAGGTCTCCACGTGTAAGCTTTGGAACTCTATACCTCCTCATATAAAAACTTCCGAAAAATCTGTAGAAACTTTTAAGAATGAACTTTTTAACTATTTTTTTCATAGGTATAATGATATTGATTCTTTCACAATATCTTGACTTTTTAACTTATGAACTTATAGTATTATCATGATTACATGTTATATAGTATTTTTAATTGTATGTAATGTAGTTATAGTATAAGAGGGCCACTTGTTAGTCAGTTGATATACTGTTCAGTGTTTACCCTCGTTAAATAAAGTTGATTGATTGATTTGAAGGATCTCCCTTCCAAGTGGGATTTACATTTTGATGAAATGTTGGAAAAAGCCAGTGCAAGGATGTACATAATGCGTGTCTGTAAATACTATGGCTTCCCAATCAAACAACTGGACATGCTGTTTAACACTTTAATTATGCCTATAATCACTTACGGCATAGAACTTTGGGGAGGCGCATACTTCAATAAATACATTAGTCAAATAGACAAATTCATCAATCGCGCTCACAGAAATGGTTGCATATCGGAAAAATTGAATATTAAGGAGATAAGCATCAAAAGGGACAAGAAACTTTGGGATAAAGTAATACATAATAAAGATAATGCACTACAGGAGCTTTTACCAGATAAATTAAATAGACACCTTAGGCCAAGGGGACACGAGTTTGAACTTCCATTAGTGAGAACAGAGCGATTTAAAAGTTCTTTTGTTTATCGATGTTTGTTTAACTTTGTTTAACCAATTTTAACCTTTACCTTTTAACATTATTAATATTTTTATCCATAACTGTATATATCTAGTTATTACCTTATAGATATCAATAATTTTATCTTATATATTTTTATAATGTAAACTCACAGACGGGTGTTCTTGAGTATGAATAAAGACTGTTATTATTATTATTATTATTATCTTTCTTCCAAATAATAGTTCGGCGGGCGTTTTGTCGGTACTTGCGTGCGGAGTTGCGCCAAAGTTGCGCAGGAAGCGATACAGCTGTTGTTTCCAATTGAGCTGCTCAGTGTGTGCGTGATAATTGCTTTGTTTAAAGTTCGCATGAATATCTCTGCTTTGGCATTTGCCTTGGGTCACAGTGAAGTAATCTTTCGGTGGCTGAACCCTAGATCTTCTGAAAATTCCTTAAATCCTTGACTATTAAAAGGGGGTCCGTTATCAGTTTTTATTTCTATCGGAATGCCATGGGTAGAAAGAATCTTGTCAAACTCTGGTTTTGTTGCCTTTGTTGAGGTGGACTTCAGAATTTCTACTTCCGGATATCGAGAATATTCATCAATAACTACGAATAGATAGTCACCTGTTGATAGAGGTCCACAAAAATCTGCTGAAAGTTTCTGCCAAGGTCCATCGGGTAGTTTCGTCATTTGTAGAGGTTCGTGATGTTTGGTGGTTGTCGCTGCTTGACATGGTATGCAATTTTCTACCATTGATTTTGTTTTACCGTCTATTCCAGGGAACCAAACTTTCTCTCTTAGCAGACGTTTAGTTTTTACCAAACCCTGATGTCCTTCATGGGCAAGTGATAACGCATGTGAGCGAAGTGGCGCTAGTAGAATGATTCGAGTTCCCTTCAGAAGCAAATCATCTTCATTGGATACTGTTATTTCATTACGAAGCTTGAAGTATGCATTCATTTCCTGTCGGTCGACGCCAATGTTTCGTTGGATTGGAGTAACAGTCCAGTTGCCTGTTCGGATTGCTTTGGTAAGGTGTTGTAATGTTGGGTCGTTGACTGTCGCTGTTTTGACATCATCGAGGAATATTGCCTTGGGAGTGGCATGCTGTGCGACAAAGCATATATATTCGTCTGCTATCTTGGAGTACTGGTTTGATGGTAAAGATGGCTGTGGGTGGCGGGACATGTAATCAGCTGGGTTTGACTTCCCCGGTTGATATTTAACAGTGAAGTCATATCGCTGAAGTTTCAGTGACCATCGTTCAAGACGTGCTGAACATCGAGATCGAGGATTTGCTTGGATTTTCTCAAGAGGTTTATGATACGTAATTACTGTAAAATGAGAAGCGTAGACGTATAAATGGAAATGTTCACATGCCCAGAGAATAGCGAGAGTAATATCGTTGTTCAACAGGGTTTAACGCACGACTAGCAAAGCGATAACTTTTTCTTCTTTCGTTTTGGAATTTTTTTGCATGAAAATTGTGCCAAGACCTACAGGGCTGGCATTGACAATCAGGGTGGAGTCGCTCTTTGGATTAAAATATGATATGGTTTTGTCATCGGTAAGGTGTTTCTTATATGTGTCCAAAGCCGTTTGGTGTGCTGTGTGCTGACATCCATTGCCAGGTGGCGTTTGATTTGTAGGCTTCTCACTTCCGTTGGATTCTGTGGAGTACTGATTTGTTGGAATTCGAAGGCTTCGACTTTCTTTGGATCTAGGGACGCACCGTCTTTAGAAAAGATATAACCATAAATTTCTATGGATGGCTTGTTGTATTGACATTTAGTCGGGTTGAGGGTTGAGGGTTAAGTTCATTTTTTGCAGGCGTTGCAGGACTGCTTCCAAGGCATGGTTATGTGACTCCTGATCGTTGCCATATATGATAATATCATCACTTATGTTTCGTGCACCTGGTATGCCCTCAAGGATTTGCCGTATGGTTGCTTGAAAAACTTCCGCTGCTGAGGTAACTCCAAAAGGCAATCTTGTGTAGCGTCGCAGACCTTTGTGTGTAGAGAATGTTGTTATGTACCGTGATTCAGGCGCAAGTTCTAGCTGGTGATAGCCTTGGTTTAAATCAAGCTTGGAGAGAACAGTTGCTTCATTTAAGTCGTTAATAAGATCATTGATAGTGGGTGTGATGTGTCGTTGTCTCTCTATCGCTTTGCTGGAAACGCGCATGTCAACACAGAGGAGTACCTTTTCTGGATTTTTTGGTTTGGGTACCACAACTAGTGGAGACACCCATGGGTTGGACCATGTACTTTTTCTATTATGCCTTCATGATTGTTCTAATCGTGTTCGGTGTGGTTGGGCACTAGGTGTAACAGTTTCATTGATGTGAAGATGAACTTAATTTTCCAACTCCATGATATCGATCATTGTATTCGTCTAATAATTGTTTCAGTTTGTTTTCTTCTTGAACTTCTGGTTGTTGATTTTATGTTGCATTAATAGTTAACTTGATAAGGTTTAAGGCTAAGGCTGTCTCGTAGCTAAGCAACGAACCACAGTTCCCTTGCATTACATGTATTGTGGTCACAACAATAGGAGTCGACGATTCTATTTCGACATCAAATTTTCATACGATAGGCAGAGGTGTTTTCGCGCCGTATCCGTATACCTTTGTGTTTGTCTTACATAAAGTAATGTGGGGGGGGGATTTATCTTGCGTGAATATTTTTGTATTCGTAAAAGCGCGTGTTCGTCAATAATGTCAGCACTTGCACTGGTGTCGATCACAATTTCTGTTGGCATGTTCATGATTTTTACGTGAACTTTGGGGCTTTTAACTTTGGATTGAATTGCATGTGTTTTTCTATTTCCAAACGAAAATGTGTATTCGTCGTCAGAACTCGAATCTACCGGGTTTTAGTTGCTCTGTTCGAATTTATTTGCGCTTGTAGTATCGTGTTGTTGTCGCTGCGTAGTATTTACGGCTTTGACATGATTGACACTATCATCGGGTTTAATATTTCGATTTGTAGACCGCCAACAACGAGCGAAGTGGTTCATTTTCTGACACAATCTACAGGCTTTCCCTTTTGCCGGGCATATTCCATCTAAATGAGGATAGTTGTTTCCACAATCGAAGCATTTTTGTGAGTGATTCGTTTCGCGAGGGCTTTGTTCATATAAGCGCTGTTGAAACTGTTGTTGTCGTTGAGTGCAATTAATTTCATGGGAATCGTCGTGCGTTTGTTCAATGTTAGTCGCTTGTTTTTCAGCAGTTTCCATTGCTCGACCATGATTGAGCAGTTGATCAAGAGTAAGCTTTGACTCCGTCGCCTTAATCGGGATGAGACACAACCGAGTATTATCTGAGATTTTAACTCTTTGTTTAGGTCGGTGAATTCGCAGGTACTGGGCAATTTTCTTAGACACGTAGATCGTAGTCCTCTCCCGTCTCGTGTAGGGTATCAAAAATATCATATGCTTCTTAACCAATGTAGTGGAGCAGTAATGAACGCTTTCGTTTGGGCTCGGTTACATTCATTCTGTTAAGAAGTTTTCAAAACGTTTCACCCATTTGGTCCAACGGGGTTCTGTAGATGCGGGGTCACTCTCCGGTACAAATGGTGGGGAAAATGGCAAGGCGACTTGTACATTCGCCATATCAGCGTCGTGTTTACTGGTTCTGTTTGTTCTCCGGAACTTTCGCTCATTTGGCGATTTGCAAATTAATTCTCTATCGATAATTTCGTACTTTATTTTATAACCTCGTCGCCAATATAATGTTTTATGTATTTATTCATTTCGCTATCTGAATCGTTAAAGCTTTTCAATCCTGTCTTTTGTCCTTGCACTATATTAAACCACATCCCTTACTTATATATTAACTAATTAACTAATTGTATTAATATCAAAACTACACTACACTACACTATTCATTCTTTATTACAAATTAATTTACAGGTGATGGGTCTTGCTTAATTAAGTCCTAGTTAATATATACAATTAGTGCCATTAATGGTCATAGTATCAAGATCAGTTCATATAAGTGAGTTATTTTTGTTCTAAGAATTTAAAAATGTCTATAAATCTATAATGTTCCAAATATATAAGTAAATTTCCTCCATATGTACAGAATGTGAATTAGATACTGATTACAAATATATATTAAGCATGCTACTCAGAGTTATCTGCATCCACAGAACCCTCTGTTATTCCAAGATGTTCCCGGTAAATGTTTGTTGATCCTTGGATAGCGTCAGTGCAACACAATTTCCTAAACAAAGAACGATATCGTTTGGACATCCCAAGTTGTCGTAAAACGTTTTCATTGGCTGGATGCCAGGAACCAAGGGCACCGATCACAAAACCAAAGACCTCGCATTTCTTTCCTTGACCAACGAAGAATTGCTTCAACCCTTCATATTTATTAAGTTTCCGTTGTTCAGCATCACGCAGGGCTTCAGCATTATTATCGAAGGGGCAACATACATCAATAATTAGCACTTTGTTATCTTCTTCTACTATTATGTCAGGGCGAAGACGAGAATTGGCTGCACGAACTTGTTGGTCGGTGGTGATAGTTCCACTTTGAACGGCGTTGACGATGCGGTCCACTATGGTATTGTGTCTCCGCAGGATACTAGGCATGTTACGAAGGCAGTGGCACAACACATGAGAGAGAGTCTCATCCGAGTTACAATGGCGACATTTTGGACAGGAATTAGACCAACGACTCTTGACATTATTTACTGGGAGGCAGTTAAGTCGAGCTCGGTGGATAAAACGCCAATCTCTGAAACGAATGTTTAAGCCATTATATTGCCAGGTAGAACCATTGGCGAAGGTGTCGGTAGTAAGCGCACGGCCTACTTTTCCTTGATCAGGAAGAGCAAGTAAGGTGGAAGCAAAATGATCTTGAACATGAAAATGAAGGAAACGGCTAGCTTCTTTGGCAAGAACAGAACCAGAGTTCTCAGTGGAAAGGATAGGGAGACCATTGTCATTGAATTTAATTTCAACACCAAGGTTACGTGTCGATTTACGAACTCGGGTCCATAATGATTGAATGTTATAACGTAAGTTGGTCAAACGGTCATCGTGGAGGCTAGACAGGTATTTTGATTTTAAAGCAGGGGTTGGATTAGATCGGCTGGCGAGTTGGACAGTTTGGTTTAGATCTTAGATGGCATCCGAGTACTCGTTCAATAACTCTAAATGGGAAGTTAAAGGAGAGTATCAACGAAAAACTGATTCATCTAGCACTAGTTACTGGTCAATTAAACAATAAAGTCACCGAACACGCTGCCACAAATAAGTATTGCATGAATGAACCCGAGCTTTCTGACTGTAATTGTGCTCATCTTAACGCCGATATGGAGGGTATTAAACTAGATATGACGATTTTAGAAGCACGAATGCTTGCCGCAATGTCTGAAAACGAGCATGAGTCGGATATTATCTCGCTAAGAGTAAAACTAGTAGATATGGAAGCCGTTGTACATAATCAGGACGAAATTATTTCCCGACTTAGCGAAGAAAATCTATCCTTTAGGTCAAGGTTATTGAACCTTGAAAAATTAATGCATTTCATGTCCCAAGAGTATCGGAACAAAAGCAGTGCAGCAATTAACCTATCTAATAGAGAGTTTTAGCTTGACGTTTACTGCAAACGTCAAACCGCTAACGAAGTTTTTTATTTTACAAGTCTATTATAACAGCTTTTACACCAGTTTTGAAAAAAAAACCAGTTATTAAATTTGTGCTCTTTAGCAATGATTTAAAAGAAAGCAAATTAACCACTACACACGTATTCGCGAAAGCAGTAAATTATGATTTGGCGTTTGAAGTTTACGTTTGGCGTATAAATTTCATGCTTGAACTGCTATGAGGGCTTGTATAGTCGTTAAAGCATGAAATTTATACGCCAAACGTAAACTTCAAACGCCAAATCATAATTTACTGCTTTCGCGAATACGTGACTAGTGGTTAATTTGCTTTCTTTTCAATCATTGCTAAAGAGCACAAACTTAATAATTGTTTATATTTCAAAAATGGTGTAAAAGCTGTTATAATAGACTTGTAAAATCAAAAACTTCGTTAGCGGTTTGACGTTTGCCGTAAACGTCAACCTAAAACTCTCTAGTATTACAAAAGAACCCTGAACGCGTAACCGCAAGCAATCTATTAATGTGTATAAAAACAGTTTGAGTTCACCTCGAAATATCGATAACATCTACCTCACGATAACCAACAATATGTTAGTCCGTCTGTAAGTAATATTGATTTTACGGCAGACGTGCCCCAGCCTAATTCTCAAACTAAACAGAAAGTAGATCTTACGGCAGACGATCGTATGGCAGACGAGTCCCAGCCTAATCCTCTAATTAAACAGAAAGTAGATCTTACGGCAGACGAGCCTCTGCCAAACCCCTTAATCGCCCAGAATAAAGAAATTAACTTACTCAAGAACGGGAATTCAAACTCGAAAACAAAATTTAACCGCGTCAGTAACGAAGATAAAAATAACAAGTACGTCAACTCTCCCAAAAGCTCTATCCCTTGACCCTTTCTATCCCGCCGAGGATGGTGCGCTAAAGGGAACCGTTGTGATTTTCAGCATAAAGAGCCTGGTCGTGACAAACACAAAATATCCTGTCCTTTTCTACAAAGGAATGGTTTTTGTTTGAAAGGGCACCGATGTGATTATTCTCATATCCGTTTTTCTCATGGTATGGTGGCTCCCAGACCCAGGATGAACGCCACTGCTTATCCAAGTTCTTCCCTACATACCCATATCTATCAATGTGCTCCCCCTTTTCAACCAGATACGAGACACAACACAACACAAGGTCACCTTTTTTGTCCCATTCCCCTGGCCTATGATTCCTCCCCCCCCCGCCCCCCACTAATGAATGCTCTTACTTGGCCCCCGCTGACATACTGAACATCCACGATCATATACTCATGACATCTCCCCCTTATCAGGAAAACCTACAAAACATAACGGTTAGAATCACAAACAGAAGTTTTAACAAATCTTATAAAATACCCTCAAGAACACACGGTAATTTAATTACTGTCTCTTTTAAAACCCAAAATGAGAACAAAAAGACGTTCGTGCCCAAAATATTACTCACAAACACCATGTCACTCACCCCTAAAATTGACGAAGTCTCTTGTTTTATGAAAATTCACAATCCAGACGCTGCTTGTATCACCGAAACTTGGCTCCATGGATCAATTGACGAATCGTGTCTTTATATAGATGATTATAATTTCATCTTCAAAAACCGTTCAGTGGGCTGTCATGGAGGTGTGGGTCTATATATTAAGAACTCAATACCCTTTGAATGTTTAGACCATCTACAGCATCCCCTGTTAGAGATTCTCTGGGTACGTCTTACTCCCAAAAGATTACCCCGTGGATTTACCTGTCTTGCAATTGGCGTAATATACCACCCACCACGCGCCGATGATCATGAAATGCTCAGTTACCTTTCAACATCACTTCCCACCATTGAAAGCAATTATCCAGGCTGTGGTCTAATGTTATCAGGAGAGTTCAACCAATTAAAAGTTAACCGTCTACTGAACCAGTTTCAATGCAAACAAATGGTCAATGTTTCTACCAGAGCTGACAAGACTCTTGATCTAATTATCACCAACTTATACTCGTTTTACGCTAAAGACTCTGTAGAGAAACATCCTCCCTTTGGCCTCTCAGATCACAATGTGGTCATTCTAAACCCTAAAAACAGATGCGATAAATCAGGTAGTCGAAAGGTCGTCATAAGTACAGACATGCGTCCCAGTAAAAAGAGCGAACTCGGAAGATACCTAACCTCCTGTAATTGGTCCATCCTAAATCATCTCAAAACCTGTGAAGAAAAACTTGAGCTTTTCACTGATCTTATTAACCTGGGTATCAATATCCTAATGCCCAAAATAAGAATAACACTACATGTGAATGATCCCCCTTGGATCACATCTAATTTTAAGATTCTTATAAAAAACGCCAAGCAGCATTTTCTAACGGCAATAACGAACTGTTTAGGTATTACCGCAACCGAGTTAATCGCGAAAGAAAAAAATGCTGTGAAAAGTTTTATTCGTTGAAGGTTGAACATCTAAAAAAGTCAAAACCAAGTCGTTGGTGGAAAGAAGTAAAACAGATTGCTGGTATGACCCCCTCAACGGGAGCGGAAGATCTATATAACCAAATTTACATTGACGATATTGACCGGAAGTCTCCAAATGAGATTGCAAATCTCATAAACACAGCCTTCCTAGACCCCATGAAAACTTACCAACCTCTTACTTCTCTTCCCACCTACGATCCAAATGACTCTGTCCTCCATCTCGACGAATTTGATGTGTATAAAGGGCTTGCGTCCCTTAACCCCAGAAAAGCCTCAGGCCCAGACAGTGTTCCGAATTGGGTGTTAAACGAATATGCGGAAATCCTCGCCCAGCCTGTCAGTTCGATTCTCAATAGCAGTTTTAATGAACAACGACTCCCTGCCTCGTGGAAAGCAGCTGATGTTGTTCCAATCATAAAAACGAAACCGGTAACCGAAATTTGTTAACATTTAAGACCAATATCACCCAGCCCAGCCCTTTCTAAAGTAGCAGAAGAATTCGTTGTTTCTAAATACATTGGGCCAGCTATCCTGTGTCAAATCGACCCCAACCAATTTGGAGTGATACCAAAATCCTCTACATCTATGACAGCGATATCAATGATCCACAATTGGTCCCAATCAACTGATGGCACTGGCGCAGCAGTCAGAGTGGTCCTGTTTGACTATAAAAAGCTTTTGACCTTATTGACCATTGTATACTCGCTGATACGATCTCCAGATTACCATATTCTATGGATGATCAATGATCTTAAAATCACTGAAGTATCTACTTGGAAGTATGTGGATGATACAACCGTTTCTGAGGTTGTTAAAAAAGGCGATACCAGCAAAGCCCAAGACGCAGTTACCACAGTAGAAAACTGGTCGAATTCCAACAGATTACTTCTTAACGCAGATAAATGTAAAGAACTCCAAATCGACTTTAAATCCACGAAACAGAAATTCGACCCTCTTAAAGTCTACGGGAAGAAATTGCCGGTTGTCCAAAACGCTAAAATTCTAGGCCTCACCATCTCTAGTAACCTTAAATGGACTAACCACATTAACGAAGTCATCAAAAAAGCTAACAAACGTCTTTACTTCATTATCTTACTTAAGCGCGCAAAAGTCAGTCCGAAAGACATTGTAAACTTCTACTGTACAGTTATCAGGCCCATTTTGGAATATTGTGCCCCGGTTTTCCATTACTCAATCCCATCCTTCCTGTCAGAAGATCTTGAGACGGTACAAAAGCGAGCACTGAAGATCATTTTACCCGCGAATTACTCATATAGCGAAACTTTAGAATATTTCAATCTTCAAACTTTGTTCCAAAGACGCGAAGAAATGTGTAACAAACTTTTTACAAATATTACTAACAATTCGACAAACAAACTGCATAATTTACTGCCTCCCAAACATGAGTCGGTTTACCAACTTAGGAACAATAGACTGTTTGAACGATTCGAAACTAATACAGAAAGATTTAAAAAAACTTTTATTCCTATGTCTAGTAACTTAAGTTAATGTAATTTTTAGTACTAAGCGTTTTAATGACCATTTGTAAATATGCCTAATTAACCCATATTCTATCTTTTAAATAATGTTCTATATACTTTTGTAAATCACGCAATTCAGCTGTCCAGCTGCAAGGTGAATTTTAAATACACTATCTATCTATCTCAGCAATAGCAATGTTGCTTACAGTCGGGTCGGAACAGGAGAGCATTTTAACTGCATGAATTATAGCCTGGACATCAGCTTCAAGGGTTGGATCCAGGAGACCGAGACCACCAACGCGCTTATGAGCGAAGATGTAGGAAGCAGAAGCACGGGATGGTAGTGCACATATTCTACGAACTGTGGCCACGAGGTGTGAACGGTATACCAACAGATTATCTTTTTTGGGAAAACCAGCACGAAGAGCAAATGTTAAGGAAGGTTTGAAGGAGGTACGGATCATGTCTAGTTTTTGCCATGGAGCTAACAGTGATTTCTCAATGCTCTCCAAATCACGAATAAGGTCCTCTACCAGATCCGAGATGTTATCAGGGTCGTGAATTAAGCCAATAGGAACACCAAGGTATTTGTAAGGATTTTCACGGTCGAGTTGAGAGATCTTCGTTCGAGGTTTGTTCTGAACTATAAATTAATTAAGTTAGAAAGACGACTGCAAATTATTTGAACAGGTCAGACTGATCGAGGCACACTGATCAGCTCTGAAGGATAAGCCAAGGTCTGTTGCGGTAGACGAAGCAATGTCTAAAAGCTTCTGGAGACGGTCTTTCTTTCTGGATATGATGACAAGATCATTGGCATAGGCAAGGACGGAGAAAGAAACGCCGTGGACTTTAGCAGGGCCAATGTCGGAAGCAGATCGCTTGATCGCTCGGAGGATTAGGTCAATCGTCAGGTGAAAGATAATTGGGCTCAACGGACATCCTTGCTTGACACCGGATAGGACCGGTATATCAGTAGTAAGACCAGTGGGGGTACGTATTTGAGTAGTGGCTCCAGCGTAAGAGTTTGTGATCTTTTCTATCAGCGGCAAAGGCACTCCAATGTGCGTAATGGTGGTGGTAATTGCAGAATGTGGAATACTTCCAAAAGCATTACGTAGATCCAGCCAAGCGACAAAAGCCTTTTTGTGACTGCGTCTAGCTTCACCAATGATGGACTGAAGGAGAAATGGTCGTATTTCACTGAATCGGTAAGTTTATTGATTTTTTTTAACAATTTATATTATTATTTTTCTAATATGTGTTTTACAATTATATATTGATTGCATTACCTTTAGCTGCTCCCGTTATATAAACGGTAATTGTGTGATTTCTATGCATGGGTTTTCTATTATTTAGAAGTCGACGAAGCGAAAGCTGGACAAAATGGTATCTGAGGAAACTGTAGATGGTGGTAAACTGAAAGAAGCTGCAACAAAGAAAGCTCATGAAAGTATTTTGATTCAAATTGCTGATAAGGACCTAGTAGCATTGGCAGTGAAATACCATAAACGTTGTTATGAAAAGTACACATCATTTCTTAGGCACACCCGCAGTAGTCAATCAAATGACAATGAAGGTGAAATGCATGAATGCAACTATTAAGAATCTTTCAATGTCTTCTGTGAAGAGTTTGTTAGAAGAAAAACTAATTAAGCAGGAGAATATATTTTACATGAAAAAGTTGAAAAGAGAGCTTGTCAAGACAGTGAAACGTGTTGAAAACACTGATGGCTCAAGTTATAGAACATTTCGATTAAAGCAAAAATTGGGTAAAATGTTTTCACAACTTATTTCCATAGATCAAAGGTACGAAACAAGAGTGAAATTGTTTATGCAGAGTGCCTCAGCCAAGCAAGTGTAGCAGAATGTTTTATGGATGATGACATAGAAACGTTTCAGAGTTCACAAGAGTCGGAATCTGATGATGACATTGGAACGGAAGCATCCACGTACACAAGTGCAACATTGAAGGAAATATATACAGTTGGCCTAACATTGAGAAACAACTTGCATGATTGTACATCAGCTTGGTACAAGAACTGGCCACCACATGCATCAGATATTACTGGTGAAAACGTTAGAAAGTTAGTATCACCTTTCTTGTTTAATTTTATAGCATGGATGCTTGGGTTTTCAGATGACCCAGAAAATGCTGACTACATTGAATTAGATGAGCAAACTACAACAAAGATTTTTTCTCCGTGTCAAGATTTGGTCTATATTTCTAATAAGGGGAAAGTACAGACACCCAAGTCCCTGGCACTGGCAATGACTGCTCGGCAGATGTCTGGTTGTTCGGGCCTGATTAAGATTTTGCGTGGTTTTGGACATTGTGTCCATTATCTTTGACAATGGAATATGAATCAGCTATTCCACAGGAAAGAATCAACACATCAAACAGTATTCCAAGGGAATTTGTTGCAAAGGAGTATGTCAATCTGGTTTATGACAACATTGATTTTGAAGAAGAAATTGCTAAACAGACCCATGTAACCAACGGGATCATTTCCCAAAAAGTCTGTAATCAAAAACCGATAAGTTCAACAAACCAGACAACCCTAATAAAGAAGACACAGCGGACAGTAGAAATGCCTATAACTGATATTGTGCCTTACAGTATTGGAGTAACGAAAACACCTACATTTCAAAGTGTTGAACTGGATCCTGAATGTTTGGAACTTACTTTAGTAGATGACTCAAAACAGACAGCTTCTAAACGTGATTTGGCATATATCTTAATCAAATATTTATGTACGTGCTGCAAATGAAGAAGTATTACCAGGATGGACAGGGTTTAATACCATGCTCTTTAGTAAAGAACTATCACATGTATCCAGGGTTGGCTATTTGCCGGTCATTGATGCATCACCAACAGAATATTCCTCTATCAACACAATGCTTACAAGGAGCAAAGAAATCGCTGATAAGTTGGAACTGAAATATGCGGTGTTGGTTTTTGACGAAGCTGTATATGCTAAAGCTCAACAGGTTCACTGGAAGGAAGAGACATTCTTCAATCGATTTGTTGTACGCCTTGGTGAATTCCACACTATCATGACCTATCTGTCGGCTATGTCAAAGATATTTGAAGATGGAGGCCTAAAGGTAATTAATTTAACACTTAATTATCTACCCTAAGTTAACTTGACTGTGATCAAATCTCGTACCCAGGCTTGTTAGGGAAACAGGAATTATTAACAAATAATAAATTTGTGGCGGTGCTAATTAAGAAACAGTGAAACTGAACAGTAACAGTTTCATTCCCCATGCATTCTGTATATGTTTATTAACTAAAATATGATTTTTTCTTTTTGTATGTAGGATGTATTTATAGAATCTGGTATTGTGAGCGAAGGATCAATCAAAGGCGTCCTTTCTGGTAAACATTACAACAGTTCAGTGTCGTGTCATAAGATAATGTATGAAGCACTGCAACGCCTAAAATTCCAAGCATCTATGGATCAAATGACCGAAGAAGACCAAGAAGTTATGACTTCGTTCATTGAGAGCATGGCATGAGGCTCGTTTCCGGAAGATAAGTTCCTGAGTGATGATATAGAAAGTCCTTTGATGCAACAGATATTGGAATCCTATGAACTATTTATAGCAGAGTCATGCAGTAAATCAAGGAGATTTGCCTTTTGGAGCATGTATATTGAAATTGCAGGTAATTATGCTGAAAAACTATATATTTATTAATTTGTTTTAGAGCTCCAATATTGCACATAATATTGCTGTTTTATTTGCCATGATACTTGTATAGGTAATAGTATGTGTTAATTTAAGTGCAATTTGGAAAAAACATGCGCGCACAAGTGAGTTTTTCAAAGACTATCAAAAGTCCGAAGGATGAGTGCAATTTGAAGTCTTTTAAAAACGCACGAGTGTATTAATAAAATCCTAAATGTTTGGTTTTCTATTATTTCTCCTGGAAATTGCTGTATCTCATTGGCTATCTTTGGTTGTCATATTTTAAGCCAACCAGAAAGCCTAAGTAGTCAATGAAATGCACTGTATTTATTTTTTTGCACTTTATTTCATTTTTTGGCACTGTATTTCGAAAAAATTGCACTGCTCTTAGCCAATCAGAATTGAGAAATGTTTTCATGTATGTATATTATTAGGTAAGTAAATTCTGTTTTCTTATAAGGTGTGTTACTGATGTTTATTCGCGCAACCAGACAAGTAAACTGGGATCTTCACTTTTAGTCGGGCAGATAAAAGGAAACAACATACCATATCGTGGGACAATTCCATTCTGCATTCATATTGTGCCCTAAGGGCTAGTAAGTACGTTTCTGTTTGTTGGCCGCGTTAAAATTTCTTGTGCGCTCCTGCCGACACGTTTTTCTTGGATTCTTGTAATAAACTCTATTACAGTTAAAAAATGTGAAATTTCAGATACATTTCTAATACAAATGACTTACATAATTTGAAAGCTTGTAAAAAAACTACATATAAGACATTTAAACGGTTACCCGGATTTTTCAAGTTCTTCTTGAGTTATAAGCTGTTGAATGCGTGTTTTCAGACTTGTACCAAGGAATTATGCGAGATTTTGGCTTATTTTTCACATTTGAAACGGCAATAACTCGAAAACCGCTTGAAAATTCAACTAACCATTTTTAAATGAAAACACCTACATTTCAAAGTGTTGAACTGGATCATTACTAAAGAGCATGGTTTTAAACCCTGTCCATCCTGGTAATACTTCTTCATTTGCAGCACATATATATTTGATTAAGATATATGCCAAATCACGTTTAGGAGCTCTCTGTTTTGAGTCATCTACTAAAGTAAGTTCCAAACATTCAGGATCCAGTTCAACACTTGGAAATGTAGGTGTTTTCATTTAAAAATGTCTTATATGTAGTTCTTTGTTAGCTTTCTATTGGTGCAAGTCATTTGTATTAGAAATGTATCAGAAATTTCACATTTTTTAACTGTAATCGAGTTTAATACAAAATTCGAAGAAAAACATGTCGGCAGGAATCCACAAGAAATTTTAACGCGGCCAACATACAGAAACGTACTTACTAGCCTCCAGGGCACAATATGAATGCAAAATGGAATTGTCGTACGATATGGTAAGTTTTTCATAATTTTGATCCTCTATCTGCCTGACTATTGATGGTTTTCAGGGCTATGATTTCATGTTTTTTCATTTGCGATTGCGTCAATTATGCCAGATATGGGTCGGCATATATATTGGAGATGACTGCATTGGAAAAGACACACCTAGGTATGATTGGAGTGTAAAGTGAAGGAGTCTAAAGACAGTATCCTAATAGGTAATTTCTTGTTCAGTGGCCGACTAAAGAGAAATGCACTTTATCTCTAAGCGAAAATATTAATTGCCTATTAGAAAATGAGAAAGAATGCAATAATATTTTACGAGTAATTAAGAAAATACGCGGACGTATACTCGTACGTTAGTTTTTAAATAGTAGCAAAATTGATCAAAACAGAAGAGAGTAAAGTTAAAATCGACAAATAGTATTTGAAAACCTGAAAGGTGTAAGTATAGTACTTGTTTTATGATTGTGTATAATTTTCCTGTATAGGAATTCGTGAAGAAATCTCCACCAACTTTGCTGTTCAGCGTCAGGGTAACCATGTATTCTCTGCAGTTGCGTGCGACCAGACAATAGAGCAGACTGCCAATCGTGACTCCAAAACGAAAGGTGGTCTAATTGGGTTTTCAATGAATCGTTCCACTGTACACAGATGGCTATTATCGCATCGAAAAGAGCTTCAATAACCAGCAAATGTAACGACATGGCTGGGATTGGATGTAAAGCGAGGTACTATAATTTAAACTTTTTCTGTACTCATTATACAACAAGATAATACAACTGCAAAAACGCTGCTCAAACGACTAAATTTGTAAAAAGGGTTTGCTAGGAATTGTACATGTACAATAAGGATTTTTTTTTAATTTAGAACACGTAAAGATCTTGATCACACCAAATGCAAACATCATGAGAAATCTGTCAATGACGTAATGAAATAGAGCAAGAAGAGTTACTGAGCAAGTGGTGTAATGGTTGAAATTGATGTTGCACTGATCAAGTGTATTAATGCCTGGGTCAAGTTTTTTTTCGACCCAGTTCCGATGTGTCTAGGTCAAGCGCGGCCATTCGCCATTTCACCGACATTTTTAGCGGTCGTAAATAGCGATGGAAGAAGAGACCTGAGCAGGGGCGGATCCAGACCGATGCCAGCGATGCGAATGCATCGGTCAAAATTGAGAAACATGATTCATGTATAGCTTGAAATATATAGATATATAATGTCGCCATTCCACAGTACAGCTCCACTATACCTAAAGCTTCTTTTAAGAAATTCTTTCTTAGGTTTTGGAAGTGAGAGATCTGTATCATAATTTCTGAGATGATAACCAACCTTTTTACAGATTGCATTAATGTGAACTTCCCAAGTAAGGTGTTCATCCAACTCAACTCCTAAACATTTAAAAGATCTGTACCGTTTTAATGGTTTATTCTTAAAGGTCACTAATTTATCTCCAATTTTATTTTTGATATTGTACCGTGAGCCAACGAACATTAGCTTAGTTTTACTAGTATGATGTTGCAGTTTGTTATTCGAGAGTCATCTACTAATATTTTTCAAATCTGAGTTTAATAGTTCCACCAGTTCATCATAATTATCAGACGAGGCAAATATCTGCGTATCATCAGCATATAAACCCGGAGTTGTAAATTTTAAATATTGCGGCAAATCATTAATATATAATAAAAAAATCAAAGGACCGAGAATGGACCCCTGCGACACACCACTTTCTATGGATTTCGAAGACGACATATGGTCATTTACACAGCAAACTGCTGACGATCAGTCAAGTAAGAGGTAAACCAATTCAATTCATTTTCACGAATACCAAACTGGTCTTTTATTTTTGACATTAAAATTTGATGGTTAATTGAATCAAATGCTTTCTTGATATCCAGAGAAACAAGACCAGTTATTTTACCCTCATCCATATTTTTTAGCCATTCATCGCACATCCGGAGAAGTAAGGTTAGAGATGAATGTTTAGGTCGAAATCTAGATTGAAACTTTGAAATTAGTGAGTTTGCAGATAAATAACTATATAATTGCTGAAAAATTTCTTTTTCAAAGATTTTACTTGCAACTTGGAGAATAGAAATTGGACGGTAATTCTCACATTTGCTTCTATCCCCAGATTTATAAATCGGTTGCACACGTGCTAATTTCCAGTCATTGACAGATATGCCAGTATGTAATGATTGGTTAATTACCTCCGCCAGGAGGTTATGTAATCATCTGGGTTTTTACCTCCGCCAGGAGGTTATGTAATCATCTGGATTTGTTACCTCCGCCAGGAGGTTATGTAATCATCTGGGTTTGTATGTGTGTGTGTGTGTATGTGTGTGTGTGTGTGTGTGTGTGTGTGTGTGTGTGTGTGTGTATGTGTGTGTGTATGTGTGTGTGTGTTTGTCTGTGAGCACGATAACTCAAGAAATACCAAACATATCCGTACGAAATTTTTTGAATGCATTTTCCATCGGCTAAGAAAGAACTGATTAAAATTTGGTTGAATTTGGTTAAAAATTGAACGAGAAATGAACAAAATTTTGTCTTGCTTTTCCCGGTCAATTAACAAAAAATATTACTGAATGCGTAATTAGGGCGTGTATAATTTATGCACTCAGTGCTAAGACAATAATGAGATGATAAACCTCATTAAGCTTCGGCCTTAATTATCTATTGTCTTAGTTGCATTTGACGCGACCGAAATTCAATGTCTAAAACAAGGCTTACGGAGTTACGCATTATTACGTTCAGCAAAGTGCCAGTCCATTCAAATTCTAACAACATTAGATTACTTCAATACAGGGTGTATAACAAGAACGCAACCTCGGAATTTCCCAATAAATCGACATTGTTTTAAAGACAAAATATTTTAGCTGCCTGGGAATTTAAAATAGCACAACTGTGAAAATTACTGCACGCGCGAGTGCATAAAGCAAAATTTATGAATTTATTTAATGACACTTAATAAGTTTTTATTTTACAAGTACTGTACAGTACAACAACAGTAATATGTTCTATTAGCAATTCGATTTCAATTCGCGGGGGCCTGAAATCTTTTATGCTTATGAGTTATAAAGTGGATTTCTTAGGAAATTCCAAGGTTGCGTTTCACTTCCGAGTAACGGGCGGAGGTATGCAGTCTCTGAGTGCCCTCTAGTTAAAGATTGTTGTCAGAGATGGTGCAATTATATCTGCTGATAATTTAAGAACTTTAGCTGGAAATTTGTCTACGCCAGTAGCTTTGGATGTTACTACTAGCTGTTTTAAGTTGTTTAGAACTTGATGAACACTCAGGGGCGTAGGAACCAGGGGGGCCAGTGGGGGCCAGGCCCCCCAAGTTTTGGCAAGTGTCCTTTTTCCCGTAGCAAAGTGCCCTTTTTTGCCAGGAAATTTTTCATTAAAATTGCATTTTTTGCAGCCGATTTTCAAAAGATTGCATATGTTCTTCCAGAGACTTGTCGTTACGATCGGGTTTACTGGTTGCTTCGGCCAGAGATATAAAATAGTTCCCCAGAGCACAGTCTTTGTCACAATTCTGCTTGTTTACTTCAGTTAATTCCTTAGAAATTGAGGCTATCGAGTACAGTTTTCCTTCGGTCTCGCTTTGACACCTTCCATTCAATGTGATTGTTTTAGCTTTAGCATACCATCTGATGGAGACGCCTTCGCTTTCAAACAATTTTGCATCGCCACCAGGAGATGACCATTCTCCATTCGGTAGATTTAGTACTTCGTCGACAAATTTTCGTAAAAGATCATATGAGGAATTCCAAATCAGCTTTCCTTTATCGTTTACAGACAGATTATGTAGAAGGCTTTGTTCGGTTAAATACATTTTGATTGAGTTAGCGGAGCGAAAATTACACGTCTTCATTCTACGACTGTCGGGTCTCAATGACGGAGCATCTTGTGATGGAATGATTACATGTTATTGGTTTAATCATTGATAAAAAATAAATGGATAGGAAACTAGCTGACGTGATCTAATGTTTTCAATGGGCTGATGGCGTGGTTGGATGTTGAAACCTAGTTGCAAACCAAATTCTCAAAAACGGCATGTTTAGCAATAATACAGCTAAAAATTTTAGTCAAAGAGCAAATAAATATGACTACGCCATTCTACGATGAAATCTCTAAGTATTCCCAGTCAATTTTAGCAAATATTTCAAGCACTAAATAGTGAAAAATGCATCGCAAATTTCGTTAAAATTGGGGACGCCAATTTCGTAGCTACAAATGTAAAAAAAATACAAAACAAAGACGAAAAACATTTACCCTGAATACTTTGTCGTGGCTTAGGCATGTTTTTAAAACAATTAGACCAGTTTATGCTTCAATATTACTCTTTTAAAGCGGAAAATATAGCGAAACAACAAAAATGCCAAGAATTTTGCAATACGCGTGACGTCACAGATTGCAACCAGGTTGTTTTTGCTTACGTCAGCTAGAGTCCAATCCATTTATTTTATTATCCATGGTTTAATTACTAATGAATTATTAATAAGTTTGAGAAATACATATCAAAACTGGATACTAATAGCTGTTTTGCGAAATATAATTGAGAGCAATTTCAAATCTGTTCAGTTTTTTTATACACCTTGTAGACTTGATGAAAATCCCAAATGCTTCAAGTATATTGTGGAATTTAATCCCGAAGTGAAATACGGACTCCTTAATCCCTCTGTAATAAAGTTACTGAAGTTTTGTGCAAGATAATTATTAGCGTATAGATTCCGGCGCGTAGTGTATTTCTCATAAAATATAAAAGAGTTCATGAGTTCTTCAAATCATAATTCACACTATCACAGCTACAAATACAGTTACCATCTATCGCATTCCTCAGTAACTAATTTGAATATGAAACAACAATCATTAATGAATATATATATATATATATATATATATATATATATATATATATATATATATATATATATATATATATATATATATATATATTTATATATATATATATATATATATATGTTGTGTAATTGTACACTCCGTAATATGTTAAGATGAAAATGTTCTAGAGTGTGTATTATATAATTTCCATACCCAGCGCAAGCAGAAAGATGTTGTTTGCCGCGGCTGGGTCTTGAACCCGCGACCTTCGAATTACTAGATCGACGCTCTACCAACTGAGCTCATGGCCAGAAAACACGGACAGTCAGCGGTTTTGATTGTGGGCGCAGAAACTGTTCCCACGCGCGCGCGTGACATACGCGCGACTTCAAATCTACTATAAACAAACTTTATAAATACATTCGACAATGACTTTTTACAAAGAGTTAAATATAAATTTGATCCAGGGATAGATGATTATATAAGTGAAACACTGTAGGAATGAATTTCTTAAAACTATAACGAAGATAATACAACATTCCAAACTTTAAAAGACCAAACATATTTGAATATATTTGCATTTCCCGCAGTTACTTCTGTTTTGGAGCCTTTTCCCCTCGCAGTTGTTAGTCAGCGGTTGCCCCTTAAAATGATTACAAAATAGCGAAATAATAAGGCATTTTCTGCGTTGTATTTGGCAACGTTTTGAGTTTTTTCTACCTAGTCTAGGACCTGTATATGAGTTTGTATGCATTTCATTTAGGACAGATAGTCTCAACTGTTTTAGGCTAAGTTGACCATGACGGTCAACATGGTAACGCTGCCCGAACCCCAATCCGGGGCGAAACGTCCGAAACTGACAACACCCAAAAACGACGCTTTCGCCATACTGCTATCTACCAAGCCATAAAAGCTTTGACTATTCTGAGGTGCTTACATGGTTCAGAGATGGTACTTTTGGGGGTGGTCATTGTTCAGTGTGAAATGCCTAGCATTAATATTTCACAAGAAAATGGCCATGCAATAATCATAGTTAAACGTCAATTTGTGACTTGCAACTTCAGATAAACAGCAGTGGACTTACATTACCTTTTTCCCTAAATCTTCTTGATAGAAACATATTTGGTACTTATTTAAATATATCATCACTGGTTTGGTGTAAAATAGTTAATATTTTCTGACCGAAATAATAATTTGAAATGTGCCTACCTCCTGCAAATGGACGTATTTGGCCAAGTTCTCCAATTTACTCCGCTGTTTATCTGCGATCTCGTCGACATCCTACAAAAAATGTAAATCATTTCAGACCTAATGGTATCAAGAACATTTTAAACAAGTTTAAACTTGGTTTCAAGTAGATCATACCTGTTTAACCATCGGCAAGGTAAATCCAATTCGGCGCCTTTTTGTCATCCCATGTCGCTTGTTAACAATATTAATTCAGCCTTGTTACTCTTCCACCCAAGCCATTTCCATTCCACTAATAATAAATTTAACCCTTTATAACAGGAGGAAACTAAAAAATCTAAACAAAATATAAGAAATACGCCAATTTATCACCATGTAAAATTTTGCTCACGAGTCTTTCAAAACATTCCGTACAGGAGGAGGTGAATTATTTCACGAAGATAGAAGAAGGCTGCGTGAAATAGACTAAAAGCTAAATACAATCATACAAATGTTTGTTTTATTTCTTGTAGCGACAAATATATACATATTATTATTTTTAATATGAAAAAGTCATACAAATTAAATGTTGATTGTTGGTTTTACCATACTGTGTGGGCTTTCCTTTCATTTTTCAAGAGTCAACCCCCCCCCCCCCTGTCACATTCCCTGTTGCTAAACCACGCGAGATTTGTACAAATGTTTCGAAGGACTCGTAAACAACATTTCACAGGGTGATAAAATTTCCTCCTGTTATAAAGGGTTAATTTTATTATTGTGGAATGGAAATGGCTTGGATGGAAGAGTAACAAGGCTGAATTGTTAACAAGCGACATGGGATGACAAAATGGCGCCGAATTTGGACAAAGTTGTAGATTTACCTTGTCGATGGTTAAACAGGTATGATCTACTTGAAACCAAGTAGAAACATGCTTAAAATGTTCTTGATACTATTTTGTCTGAGATGATTTACATTTTTTGTAGGATGTCGACGAGATCGCCGATAAACAGCGGAGTATTAGTGGAGAACTTGGCCAAATACGTCCATTTGCTGGAGGTAGGCACATTTCAAATTATTATTTCGGTCAGAAAATATTAACTATTTTACACCAAACCAGTGATAATATATTTAAATAAGTACCATTTATGTTTCTATCAAAAAGACTTAGGGAAAAAGGTAATGTAAGTCCACTGCTGTTTATCTGAATTTGCAAGCCAAAAATTGACGTTTAACTATGATTATTGCATGGCCATTTTCTTGTGAAATATTAATGCTAGGCATTTCACACTGACCAATGACCACCCCCAAAAGTACCATCTCTGAACCATATAAGCACCTCAGAATAGCCAAAGCTTTTATGGTTTGGTAGATAGCAGTATGGCGAAAGCGTCGTTTTTGGGTGTTGTCAGTTTCGGACGTTTCGCCCCGGATTTGGATTCGGGCAGCGTTACCGTGTTGACCGTCATGGTCAACTTACCCTAAAACAGTTGAGATTATCTGTCCTAAATGAAATGCATACAAACTCATATACAGGTCCTAAACTAACCATAAACCGCTCGCAATGGCAGGAATTTCAGGTTTTATTTTGCCTCAAAACAGACAATTTCAAAGTGTTGGAGCCACTTAGCTAAAATCTCTGGTGGTTTAAAACTTATACGCAATGGCAGATCGAACATCGTACAAGAAATGTAGACGTGTAGAAGTTGTCGGCAAACGTTTTCGACAGCGCTATAACGGACTAAATGTGAGCGAGTATATAAGGAGGATTTGCTGAATTTAATAGAAGCTTATATTGTGTGGAAATGTTTTGAATCGAGTTTACTCGGGCCGGCTAATAGTAAATCGTGAGACGTCAAAACCCTCGAGAGCTATATTTTCAGGTAGGTAATACTATTTGTAGACGTGTGGAACATGCAAATCATTCTATATTTCATTGTGCGCATCGATTTTATATTGTCTGTAATCATAGTACACGGTCAGACGGATTTAAGACTGGAAATTATGAAATATATACTGAATGTCATAAACATACTCCTTTATATTAATTCAGCATAGAACAATACTAGTTCTGCAAGTGTTATGTTAAGTTGTGTAATTGTACACTCCGTAATATGTTAAGATGAAAATGTTCTAGAGTGTGTATTATATAATTTCCATACCCAGCGCAAGCAGAAAGATGTTGTCTGCCGCGGCTGGGTCTTGAACCCGCGACCTTCGAATTACTAGATCGAGGGAATAATTATCGTGTATAATATTATTATAGGGTATAATTATAGTGCGAGGGTACTAATTCCCCTGGCTATTTACACACGGGGAAACGAAACCATTAGCGAAGTCTAAAGTTCATCAAATATCGCGGGCGTAGCTAACCAACGATGTTTCGGTGGGTGGTCATCCTCACTGATTTCAAAAATATGGCGGACTGTCATGAATTGCGGAGTCGATACTGATTGGTCCAATTTAAAGTTTGCATTGTAACGACTGCATGACGACAGCGAAATAGCAAACATTTCTTGATTTGATGATTGATAAATTTCTGGCAAATATATTTCATTTTTGCTCGCATTTTTGCAAGATTTTGTAAAATTCAAAAGCTCTCTCAGAAGGAAACTGCGAAAGAATCGGCTAAAAGAAGGGAGCCGACGTTAACGAAGGTAAGTTTGTTTTAAATATTGATTTTATTATGGCTTTAAAACCCGACGGCCTTTGCGTACATAAACCAACTAAACAAGACAGCAATGATATAATTTCAGTGTATCTTATAATATTGATTCCCTTTTTTATGATATTGAATTTTTTAAATAAAAAAGAAAGCAAAGTTATTTGGAAGCGAGAATTTGAAATCATTTTATTCCAAACTTAAAGTTTATCGATAAAGCCATTTTAAAAGGCAGATTAGTTTTATAAAGAACACTAGTGACTTTAAAACGTTTTGCGAAGCGTTTGTGGTTGAATTTTACCTTAAATTGAGACTTATAATTATGTTACGTATAATAACATACCTAACATATATATGTTGGGAAATTAATAATTTTGTAATTAAGGTAATTCCGCAGTTTGGCATTGCGCATTTTCACTGCGCACATCTTATAACTTATAATTTCATCCATTATACTTACCGTTTAAAAAACATCATTTTATGACAATTTTATGTTACTTCAAAACATCTTTGGTTACATATTCGTGCAAAGAATTACGTTAAAATCAATGTTTTCAAAAAAGGCATGCAAAAGTGAAGCTAGGGTTCCTGTGTCTGTAGTATATTTATTTACTTGTATTTCACGTTTTAATGCCACAATTCCCTAAAAAGATCGCTGACCCCCGTTTTTTAACTCATAATTTCTTTCTTTAATGCATTTTACATTTCATATCCGAAATTAAAAGAAAAATCATTTCTGGATCTTGAAAAAAATCCTTTATCAATACATGTTCTCAAAGAAAGATATGTAAAGAAATGTGGAAAAG